GGAACATTAATTGGTGCCACGTCGTTACTATAGACCAATTCCTGTGGCAATGCTTTGAGTATCCGATACAGGGTATATTGAAGACTTAGTGGGTAGCATCTTGTGCTGCAGCGGTATGGTCAGTATGGAGGATGAGAAATGAGGTAGTGTTTGAGAGCAAGAAACTTAATGTGGGCTTATTGATGTTTCTAGTAAAACTTAGATTGATGTTCTGGATAAAAGCTCTGAATGAGGAGGTTATTATAGCTGAATCCTCCTGGTGGATTAATCCCTATGTATGCGCGCCATCAAAGGCGAAAAGATCGAATAGGCTTATACGACATTGGTACCCACTAGTGAAAGGAGTCCTGAAATTCAATGTGGACGGATCAATTAGAGAGAAACCAGGCAAAGCGGGTTGTGGAGGAGTGTTGAGGGACTCAAATTCAAAGATCCTGAGAATTTTTTCTTCTCCTCTAGGAATTCTCGACTCAAATGGGGCTGAATTAATGGTGATTAAAACTGCTCTTTAACTTTTCGCAAATTTTAAAAGGCTCACAAACAATAAATTAGTGATTGAATGGGATTCAATGGTTACAGTTAACTGGTGCTACATGAAAGAGTCATGTCCATGGGAGTTGTGGTCTATCATGAACGAAATAGAGGAGCTCATGGGGATCTGTGATGTATCAGTCCAGAAGATATCCAAAGAGGCAAACGATTTAGTCGACGCTTTGACAAAAGCAGAAGTTGACCCGGTTCAAAACGATGCTGTATAGTGGTAAGGATTTAGAAGCAATATAATCCATCTGCGCTAAAATTCTGGAAAATGTATTCTGATTTCTGCTTACTCTGTATTAGGTAGCCTATACATTAAGGTGTCTAAAAGGGCCTTCTGCAGCCCTTCTCTGTACTAATGTTGAACCATCAATAAAGTTTCGCTTTGCAAAAAAAAAAAAATTGTGTAACACAAAAAATGAAAATAATAAATTAAAGTTGATAGTCATGCACATCTTTTGAGCATACGAAATATACAAAGCTGGTATATAATAATCTATGTAGCATTGTATGAATTGAATTAAGGTGAAAAAAAAAAAAAAAACGAAAAGAAAAACCAAACTAGAAGAATAAAAGAGATAATTCCTTTAACAACCGTAATGGGAACTTTGATAAATGTTTGATGTCTTTTTTATAGGCAACACCTTCAAAGGCAAATGCAAATTTGAGAGGAAAAATGATTTTTTGAAAAGTAATATATCTTTGAATGAAAATTTGCAAATTAAAAACAAGTGATGTAGCACATATTTATAGGTTTAGAAGTGAAGTATAATTCTTGGATGACAATTAAGATATATAGATAATTTTAACTATTAGAATTTTAAAATTATTTAAATTTTAAATGTGTACATATTTAAAAGGGGTGAGTTGAGAGATAAATTTTATTTGATTTAAATAAGATAAAGCATATAAGGGTTAAAAACTTGGATGAAGTTAATATTTGTAATTTGAAACATTGAAAAATTGATTGGATAATAATTTTGAAATAATGAAAATTGATAGGATAGGATTATTTGGTAAATAATGTAAATTTAAGAATTATTTATAAGATCTTATGTGTCAAAACTATATATTATTTACGTAAACCTCTATGTGGCATATCTTATCAAGTATTCACATATTATGTAATATAATATATATAAGTCATGTTTGATATATAAGATTATGATGATATAAGATAAGATAATATTATGAATATGATTAAATTAAATAACATCATCTTATTTTGTGTTTGATATATACAAAGATTATGATAAAATAATTTATTTATTTATCAAAATTATCTTTTTTTAAAGTTTATATATTTAAATTATTGATAAAATTTTTAAGGGTATAATTGCACATAAAAGTTTAATCCTATAGATCAAAAATAATCTTTTCCACTTAAAGAGGATTGAATAATCTTATACCAAGAGGATACTAATCCTCTTTTTCTTATCCCTCTCTTTATATATAAACATGATATAGGATAATTATTATTCTATCATATCAATAATCCTATGTATCAAATATGATCATAATATGATATGATTTTTAGGATTGTTTTTGGTAAAAAAATTTTTACACTATGTTCAAACTCAATTCATTTAAATGTTAGGATGTTAGAGATTAATTTAAGATCAGTTTAAGTAAACATATTCATTCATAAACATTAGACAAACTTGTTTACAAAGTATAATAGATAAGACCAACATTAACGAAGACCTATGTTTTAGAAAAGAAAATGAAAACATAAAAAAATTTTTAGTTATCCAAAAATGAAAGGGAAATAAAGAAGAAAATTGGGGGCAAAGCCAAATCATTTTTTATTTTACGTGGTTGTTGAAAAATGTGAGGCAAAGAAATTTTGGTAGGAAAATAAGGAGAAAAATATTAAAGAAAAGAAAATGAAATTTCTCGTTCGTTTCAATATATAGCAAAAGAAAATTAAGAAAAGAAAATATTGACTTATATACCATCTTAGCTAAGATAGAGAAAATTCTTAGAATGTGTTGTTTAGCATTTAGGATAAATATATGAAATAAGATTTGGGAACCCAATTTCTTTTTTTTTTTTTTAATTAAGGTTGATTCAATGACTAAATTTAGTAGTTCGAGTTTCATTCTTTTTGCTATTAAAAAGATCCTTCCATTTTCCTACATTTTTCTATAATAGTCAAATTAAAAAAGATTGTGATTGAGATGTGATCTAATTAATTGGTAATATGCTTGTTTTAACAAGAGGTTGCTCATTTAGATTCTCTAATAACTTATAGCTAATAAGAAATTAAATAAAGAGTTTTCAGTTCATTGTTGTGCAGGGATTTAAGTGAATCCTAATTTATCTTATAAGTGGTCAAATAAAAAAAAATTGTAATTTGTCGTTTCATCTATAGAAAAAAATATTTTTTGAGATAAGAAATTAATATCATTTATAAATATATTTTAAAAAATTTTATTTGAAAAATAAAAAAAAATTTATGATTATTATTAATTTTATAATACGATCAAGAATATCTCACACCTTTGCCTAGATCTAATCTCCTTTATTAGAGATCTTAAACATGTATTTGGTATATTCAAAATTTTATTTTCCAAGTACTTCTTAGGAAAAAATAAATCCTGTTGACATAAAAATAGACATCTTCTCTTTATCAATTACACTAATTCTTCTTATTATTATTATTATTATTGTTATCATATGTTCTCCTTATTTTGCACCAAAACCAAATATGGTGGCTTAAACAAAGTTTGCATATGCCACTTGTTGAATTTATGCCTCTTGACAAGTCACTTTTACTCCATGGTCACTAAGCTTGTTTCGTGTTATTCACCTCCATTTAAACACACACAATCCTACATAAACCCGGAAGAAGCTTGATTGCAGAAGGTGAGGCTGGCAACAGTGTCTAACTGTTGTTGCAACAAATTGTTGAAATCAGATTGGCTTCGAATTGTTGAGCTTAGGGATGTTTGGCTGGAGACTTAATAACAACAATCTCGGCCTGGGTCTTAGTTAGCTGGCTCTCTGCAATGTGTAACTGTTGCTGCAGCTGAAATATAAGCCCAACGCAGCCATAGACAGGGTCTTCAACCCGACATTGTGCCTCGAAGTACAAAGAATCTGCCGCTTCAGCTCGCAAATGGGTTGGGAGTTGCTGGATGATCAGAGGAAAATAAGTTGAACCAGACTTGTCATTGTCAAGAGTATAATTGGTTCAAAAACTATAGTTCTATGCAGAATCTTAATGTCTGTCAGATAGCTTAGCCATTGTTGTTGCACTTAAAAATGCTCCAGTATGAAAAAAGTGCATTCGAAAAGTGTTGTGAAAAATTGTTATGAGAAATTATGGATTAAGGTTTCTAAATGTTTGACATTATTGTGAAAATTTACTTTAAGAAATTAAAATGTTTTAAAAAAATGTTGCTGGAAAAAAATAAATAATTGATGGGATATTTAATCATTTTATATTTAAATCATAAATTTTAATTCGTAACTGCACCTCCTAATTAGATTTTGTGATTAACTCATTTTATTTTAGCTGTCAAACAGTAATTTTAAACCAAACCATAATATGTTTAGCATAGCATTTATATTCAAAACGTACGATTTGGAACCCAATTGTAATGCTTAACGAGGCCATAATAGCCTTTGATCAGTGCCACTCGACGAAAAATCTAAAACGAAATCAGAAAATATATATATCAAGAGTTCATAATTATATGCATGGTAAGAGAAATATACCTGAAGTAGTTTTGCAACACTGCTGGCACCATAGATTTTGTGAATAGAACAAATCTTTGGGGATTAATAGATGGAAAATAAGGAGAGAAAATGCAATCGGGAGGGCATCTTCTTCTCAAATATCTGCAAGCCGCACAACGGCCAGAATTCATGGCTCAAAAATCTATTCAAACCCAAAGAAAGATTCTCTCAATCTCTCTTGTTCTTAGAAAATAAGTCTACTGGAGATTAGAGTTAATATATAAAAGAATTTAGAAAGGTGAGAAAATTGCACAAGCAATGGAGAAAAATTTTCTTCCAACGGCTAACTTTTTCAAATTTTGGGATTTGGAAGGGAAAGTTGCTAATTTGTAGGGGATTGCCATATTTGAACAGCTTGGACCACGCATATAGAGTACTATTACAGAACCAAGATAAAGCAACTGCAATCCCACGTCCAAGTTTCTTATTAACCAAAGGAAACTTTATATATATATATATATATATATATATATGTCATGCATAATTATATATCTAATTTAGATCCCAATTGTTGGAGCTTCTAATTCTTGATTGGATTCAGATCCTTGCAGCTAGCGATGGTGTCATTCAAAATAAGGGCCGAAGCTGAACAAAGAATCTATGAAATCATCTCCCCAGTTCTGCAATAAGAGTCAAAATCAAACAAAAGGAAAGCTATTTCAATAAAGTTGTTGATGAAGAGATAATTTGATTTAATTTTAAGCCATAATTCATTTGTACTATGTCAAAGAATGAAATCTTGACAGATGATGACATTCCTGATTGTCTGATGAATCATCTCCAGAAGCAGGAGCATTGTTCACTTGGAATACGCTGCTGAGCTCAGAGCCAGTCAATTGTTCTGCTACGCCTTGTTGCTAAATACAAAACAACTCATGGATATAACTTACATATAACTAACGAAAACAATTTTCTGTTTCAAAGTGATAGTGTGAAATTGAACTTGCCTGGTTAGTGTTTTGATTAAAATTAGTTGGATAAGATTCATCCGAAGGATACGCACCGCCAACAACGCTGGTCTCCATCAACTCTTCGTTACCACTTTGAACCTGGGCAGACCAACGAATGTGAGAAAAGGAGTAGGGTAGAAGAATGGGGGAAAAGGTGGAGGAGGATCCTTTATTTGGGAATCTGGAGAATAGTGGACATGCCTGTCCAAGAGCTTGCTCGCTGCAAGGAGCGGTTTCTTCCACAGACAATGAGCCAGAGAAGTCAGAGTTCAGAAGTTCGTCCAGTGAGGAGTAGATTTCCTGAAATATTGAGCTGCTGGAAAATTCAGGATTCTGAACGCCTTCCCCACCAGCTTGTTGCTATACCAATCAAAACCAGTTGTTTGACAAGAAGATTTTCATCAAGTACCAAACAGAATGAAAGAGTAGAACCAATTTGCGCGACCAAAATACATAAAGGGAACATTGATAGAATAAAAATGTAGTACCTGACAAAGGAATTTATAGTCGTTCGACTCAACTACGATGTTGCTGAGATAACCCTGATCACCAATTTGTTGAGAAAGAGTTATGTTGTCAAAAGAAGCATCCTTCATAAGATGATAAGAAGTATAATCACTTGCCCCCCCATTGCCAAGACCAGGCAACCTCGAAGTGTTTTCTTGTTGGTTTGCCGCAGTAGATGCTGGTGAAACTTGGTTTATGCTAACTAATCCTGCGGAAGAGGACCCTTCTTGAGCCATATGACGAGAAGTTTGATTCCCCATGCCTGCAATCTCATTGCAATTTCCATTCGTTGAGCCATAACCACCATTAAGATGGGTTTGACTCATTCCAATAAGCTGTCCATCAGTAGTTAATGTAATTCCTGCATAGCTATTATTATTGGTGCAACTAGAATTCAGAGTTGGATAAGTGCCAACGGTTCCTATGTTTCCAGTGGCCAGAGTAGAACTCGAAGAATGAAAGCCGAATGGGCCAAATCTGAATTGTGATGAGGAACCGGCATTGTAAAAATCTGGCTTTGATTGAATATGCTGTTGGTACGTGTGCATTGAGTTTGCACCATTCGTAAGGCCATTTGAAGCATTGAATAGGCCACCAGACAAACCACCATTTAGTGACAAATTCGATCCATTTGGAAAACCCAGGCCATTACCATGATACATAGGATTCGTGTTGCCAGAGACCAGTCGCTTGTTAGCTGGATTGCCCAATAAACGGGATTGTCCATATCCATGTTGCTGCTGAGCAGAGTTGCTGCTTGAAGCATTCTGACTAGGAAAGTGTATGGATCCAAGGCTAGCAGCATTACGAGCAGTAACACTCCCTCCATAGCCTGGTTGGAATAATCCCCTCATTTGATGCAGTTCTGCCAATCGTGAATATTGTTGTGCAGTTTTCAGCCACAATGGATTGCCAGATGCGAAGCTTGACTTAAGGACCTTCTCGACTAAGGGCTTTGATGGAAAAAAACTCCTCTTTGCTACACGCTTTAAGAAGATCCGGTACTTCTGCAAATTTTACATGAGCGCATGGAGGCATTAGGGATTACAAACCATTGAGAAAAATAATTAAGGGGGAAGTAACCAGAGATAATTAGCCAAAAGCAAACCTGTAAATGACTAGCCACATTTTCTCTGGTTAAGCCTTGCGCGTTCATATGCTCAAGAATCTTCTTGGGGACAGCTTCTGCTTGAGTCAAACATAGAAATAAAACCACCAAAATTATCATCAGTTAGTAGCAATTCAAGGTAGCTAGGCATTTCAAAATCATAATAATACAATAATAGAGTAACGAGGTTATAAACAAATTAGAATATGAGCAAGATATATATATATATATATATATATATATTATTCCCATACTTTCCAGGCCAATATGTCTTAAGGCTTCCAAAAACTGGTTGTGAAGTGAATTTGTCCAAACCACCTTGGCCTTTTTGGGGGCAGACGCAGTTTTTCCTTCTTGATCATCCTTGCCCTTCCTTGATGACTTTATTTTGGATTTCATTTGAGCTTTAATCCTTTCATCATTCACCGACGACCCAGATACGATTTCACCATTAGATAATTTTCCAGCTGAGGACGAATCTCCTTCAATGCTTCCAGTTTCTTCAATAACAACGGATTTACCTTTCTTAGCTGCAATTGCATATTGCCATACATTTTTTAGATCATCAGGGTTTACTGGTTTAACTATAAAAAACACAGCTCCTCCTGCTAAGCTTTTTAACATGACACTTTCTTTGTCATCTGAGGACATTACTGCATAAAAAGGAAGGATAAATAATCCTTAAGTTTGTTACATATTTACACATAAATAGGCAATTTAAATTGATGAAATGAATTTAAAAGAAGAAGAAAAAGAAGAAGAAGAGGAAACTGCATATATATAGTGATTATCTAGCTAGATTCCTTGTTTACACAAAATCATGAGATGAAGTTAATTTCTTCGATTGTGGGCCTATAACAAATAAATCATACTTTTCTAACTTTATTCTTTAATAAATTATGATAATATTGAGGTTAAAACTTCCTCTATGATTCATACAAATATGTTCAATTAAAGAACTTCGGCATGATAAAAATCTACTTAAATTATATTGTAAAGAGATTAAATTTTTATCATTTGCATAGAGAAAATGGCATAGTACTTACTAATGACGGGCACTTTGAACTCTCGGTTGATTTGCCTTTGAAGCTCAATCCCATTCATTTCAGGCATATGGAGATCAGTGAGCACTAGGTCAACACCTGGATTGGCCCGAAGATTGGACAAAGCATCCACTGGGGTTTTAACAGTTGCAACTGAAATTAATATACATACAGACAGAAGAAAAAGATTATGAGTTTACAATTTCTTTCATTAGGATGTTTTAAATCAAATGAAGGAAAAGAGAATTAGTTTAGCTCAAGGCATCAGCAAGTAAGATATAATTATGATCAAATTCTACTTTCAAAAAGATATATAAGCAAATTAACAAAAACTTAATTGATTGCATGTACATTCACCCTATTATATAATAATAACTGGTATATACCGTCCACGATTTTGATTAATTAAAACAAACATAAACAAAATAGAAAAAGATTAATTTGCATTTCTAAACTTTGAAGGCACACTTAACTATACTTAGTGTACTTGCTTCGTTAATCACTTTGGGTTGAGATGAGAAATAAATTGTAACAGGTTTAATTCATTTGTTTTTCTTTCGAAGAAATAGAGATTTAAATCTGAAATCTCTTCTGTTTGAGGAAGATCATTCTAATTAATTATTAAGTTAATTATGTTAAGGCAAAACCATAAAAAGAGAGAGAGAGAGAGAGAGAGAGAGAGATAAAGAATTCTATAACTGAGTGATCTAAAGAAAAGAGATTAAGAGAGGGTAAAAAGGTAGAAAAAAATTTTATTTGCAGAGGTAGGTAAAACGCAAAAGCGATAAGAAACGCATGCATGAGCATGGGAAAGACACAAATCATAAGCATACCTCAAGTATTTACTTGCATTGGAAAAAAAATTTTCTTTCGGAGTTTTATGATAGTAGTGATTTGCTGTTTTTTGGAAAATAAAATTACAGTTTATCCAAAAAAATTTCTTCTGTAGATTTATTGGAATGTGATTAAAAATAAATTTTAAAAAATCTATTATATGCAACTATTTTTTTACTCATTACAATCACTTTAAAGTGTAATTGAAATATGGGTGCATTTATTTTTTTTCTTATTGTAAAAAGCAAAAAACATGGTTGCATTTAAAATTTTCCTTAAAAAATATGAAGGGGAATCAAATCTTATGCAAGGTTTTTATTTTTAATCAAATCTCATGAGAGTTTATTTTTACCAAATGAATAACCTTTTCTTTTGAAAAAAAAAAAAAGGTACAGACCTTTTCCTTCTCTAAACATTTCTTCTTTTTTTTTTTTTTTCTCTTTTTTAACTTCTGCCAACAATGATTAACAAAACGATCCATCGAATTGAAGATACATGAAAAGAAAGATAACAATTATGAGATCAATTGAAAAAGGAAACCTCTAGGGAAAGGACTGAAATGGAAAATTCATCATCCATAGAAAAAGAAAAAAAAAAAAATTATCCACTATCATGATATACACCTAAACCCTTGATAAAACATCGAGAGAGAGAGATCTGCAAAAGGATTTAGAGAAAGGTTTATTATACAAAAATTGCATCTTAAAAAAATAATATTGAAACAGTTGCTTGCCTGTGTACAAAAATGGAAAAAAAAAATGGTCAAAATTTTAGCATATTATGAAAATAAATAAATAAATAAATATATATATCTATATATATATATATATATATATTCTTGAATCATATCTCTCCCCTACTTGTAAAAATGATATAAAATGGAATAACTCTCTTGGATTGAGAGAAAGAATACTACGAAATACACAAATGCAATATATATGATTTATATAATCAAAATGATGAGATCTAATTTCAGGAAATGAAAAAGGAATACTAAAAGAGAGTCCTTTTTAATTATGTTTCTAAATGTTAGAAAAATGACGAAATGAAAGTCATTGTTAGAAAAAAAAAAAAAAAAAAAGAAGAAAATTGAACCAATATTATTAGTAGAACACTGAAACAGATGTTTACAACCAATGCATATAAAGGAAAAAGAAAAGGTGCTGAAATCCAAAGGTAGTAAAAGTAGATGGAAATGAAAATAGGTTTTAGAAAAACTAGAATTGGCCTTGCATATATTTTATCAATATAAGAACAAAATACAAGAGATGATCAGTTTAACAAGAGAGAAAAAGAAAACTCTAAGACCCAAATACACAAGTGAAGAGAAAAGATGTCCCAGTAATTATAGATACCTTTATAACGCCACTCTTTTAACATAGCAGAGATGATTGCTAGAGAAGTGGAATCATCATCCACCACCAAGATTGTTATTTTCAAATGGGAACCCATATAATTTACTTACATAAACTCAATTTGATTTTGAAACAACAATGAACAAATATTTATAATGTGAGCAACCAATAAAGTGAGCACTCTGTGGATGCAAATTAGATGTTACAAATGGCAGGCAATTGGTTTTTATAAACAGAGACTGGGTTACCTATACCCCCAAACAAAAAAGTTCAATTTTTTGTTTTGCTTTTTATATTGATTTTCAGTTTCTTTCATTTTTAATTAATTTTCAACTCAAAAGTAAGATGCAGCTGAAATTCTAAGGCAACATGATGTTTGAAATCAACCATGAATTCAACATAATTAATGACAAAAATCTAGTGCAGAATCTAGATTAAATGCAATTTACCAAAAATAAGAAGTTCTTACTATGAATTCTTTTGTTAAGAAGATTTCCCCATCTCTATGTTCACACCCTTTTTCTAGATTCAACATATTTTCCATTTTAGGATTTTTTTTATCCTCATCTAAATGTCTCTCTTATTTTAAATTGATTTGTTCAAGATATATATTTAGTTGATTTAAATTTTACTTTAAGGATTTAAGAAAAATCAACTCTAGTATAATAAATTTTATTGCATATAAAGGTGTCAATTTTACTCATATCGAATATGAAATTCGACTTTTTATTTGAATGAAGATGATAATAGGCATTATATTATGGATATTGCAATGGGGATAAATATAATTTTAAATTTTTATTGAGTACGAAAATAAAGATAGATAATATAACACTCACCTCGCATCCATACTCTATATATATACATTTATATATATTTAGTAAATAGATTTTTTGTTAAATAATATAAATTATTATTTTAGATTAATTATAATTAATATATTTTTATTGAAAAATATATATTAATATATATTTATAAAAAGTTACCTAAATATACAAGATAAAAAAAAAGCTAAAAAAATAAAGTTTTATTTTTTTTTTAAGTTATGGGTATGGGGATTATCCATACTCATTAAATATGTGTGGGATTGGGATATATTTGAAATACCTATTGGGTATGAGTATGGGGATAGGTATAATATAAAAATTTAAGAATGGGGATAGGAAATACTCTACTCTCCCCATACCCTACCCATTGACATCCCTAATTGTATATAAGTTCATCTAACTAAGTTTAAGCTTTCATGAACTGTTTGATAATAAATTTTATTCAATCTCAATCCCTTGCAAAATCCACCATTTGGTAACCTATAGGAGTGCATATATAAGAGACTTACATACTAATATTATACCAAGGTTGAAGAAGTTGAGTGTAGACACCTAGTTTTGTCCAAGATAATTTGACCATGTTTAATTTTTATTTTTCATTCAAACATACTAATAAGGATCAATTCAAACATCTTAATATGATTAGACCTATTTTGGCTTAGTTTTAAATTAAAATTTTGTAGATCATTTTACTTAGGATGAAGTTTAATCCATTTCAATTTTTAGTTATTTGGGCTTAAAAGCTTGATAAAAGTCCAAGTCAATTTTTAAGGCCCAAAGTCCAATTGTAAGCTGAAATTCAATCTTAAAAACTTAATTTCATTAGAATTTTAATTAATTAAAAATGATACAAAAATCAAATTTATATATAAAAAAAAAAGGGTTAGCTACCATGGTAGCAGCTTTCCTTCACTTTTCCTTCTCCCCAAATCACTTTCTCTTCTTCCAATTTGCTTCATCGTTTTCAGCTTTCCATTTTTTCCCTCTATTTTACCCATCCACTTGCAACATAAACTCATTAAAAACATTATCCCAAAAATTCAATAGGCAATACCTTTCCAAAATCAACAACCATCATTGCATTCTTCAATTACACTCCAAAATTTTCAACCAAGCAAAGCCAATTCTTTTGGATTTGAAATGGACTTGAAAACTCTCCGAGAGAATAAAATGCAGAAGAACCCACAATCAAAAGGGGAAAAAGGATTCTTAGGTCCAAAAATTGCTAGCACCCACAACCTACAAGGATCAACATTCTGCTATCAAAAATCCTTTCTCTTGACACTTTCAGCCACTATCCATCATTTTCTTCTTCTTTCCTCACCATAGCAAATAGTGTCATTCTCATAATCAAAACCAAAGTATTCCATCACAACCACTAATAATCAACAATACACATAAAAAAAAAACGCAAAGAGCTTAAAACAAAGTCACCATTCCACACAAAAACCCTTCTCCCGTCACTTACTACCATCACCTCTTCTACCTAACATGTTCATAACAGTAAAAAACTCCCTCTTATAATAGCCATTGTCACTTAAGAACTTACCATTAGACATTAATCGGCCCACCCATCATCCATAGCAAAATCACCTAAAAATATTTTTTTGATTGAAAAAGTACCAAAAAGTGATAAACAACACAATTAACCTAAAAATGCAACATTTTTTTCCTTCAAGGGAAATCACACAAACAATGAAGCAAATTAAATAAAAAAATCAAAAGGGTAAAACAAAAGGGGTTTTCAAGTATATGGGCAAGTTAGTGTTTAAAAAAATCTATGAAACAGGGGTTTAGCTTGTAAAGGAAAAAGAAATAGGGTAGGTTAGTTGATGGCAATTTGCTGGGTGGTGGAAAAAAATTTTCGATTAGAGGAAGGGAAGGAAATGTAGGGAAAATGAGGAGGGAAGAAAAAAGAAAAAAAAGAAAAAAATGGAAAATAGAGGGTTGTTCGACAATAAGTGGTGACTAAAAGGGGGTTGTCCCTTAGTTAGAAAAAGAAAAGGTAAATGTAGCTGGAAAGAAGAACAAAAGGAATAAAAAGAATAAAAAAAAAAAAAGAAGGAAGAAAAGATGAGTGGATTAAACGGGGGAGTTTTGAAGGAAAAAAAGAGAAAATTGCTAACCCAACTAACCCAAACTCTTTTGAGCTTTAGCCATTACCTGTCTTAAAGGATTGGAACGACAAACTTGGGCTTTTTTTATGTTGGTGTTTTTGGTTCAATTCTAAAGACTTCATTTGAGTATATATCTCTTCTCCTATTTTTCTTTTTTGTGTTATTATATTTTATCATTCTCATACTTGTTAATATGTTTTTACAACTTATAAAAATAAGATTAATAAATAAAATATGCATTCTTGAAATTTAATTTGTTTGTGGATAATCAAGGTTGTTGATAAAATAAGATGAGAATTGAATAAAAAAATGAAATGCAAAAACTTTATGATTGAAACATGATTTTTAAAAGATGGTTTTAGATATAAAAATAGAATAATATTTTCATGTGAAAATATGATTTTAATACTTTACCTAGATATTAGAGGATATTTAAATAATTATTTTTTGCAAAAGAATATTATCTTTGTTTAAAAAAGTTAATTAAAAATTATTATATGAATTTCTAAAGTGAAAAATCAAAATTTTTTTAATTCCACCTAGATATCGAAGAGTTAAAAAATATATATTTCTAGTACCAAAAATGTCATTTTCATCCTAAATAAAATTTATTTAGAAAAGAAATATAATTACATGCATCATTTAATTTATGTTCATATTGTCATATATGCATTTTATATACTAATAATAAATGTGAAATAATAAAATAACAATAACAATTACAAAATAATTCTTTTAGAAAAAAAATGATTTTTGAGTCTTTACCTAGATATTAGAGGAAATTCAAATTATTATTTTTGTTAAAAGGATATCATTTTCATTTTACTAAAAATTAATTATAAGGATTTCTCAAGTAAATGATTAATTTTCTTAAATTTCACATGGATATTAGGGAATTAAAGAAACTTTTTCAACAAAATAAATAAATAAAATTTCTTTTATCACTAAATCCTTTTTTTAACAAAGATAGAAAAATTAAAGTTTTATAAGATGAATTAAATTGGTTATTTGCATATTTTAATTTGTATTTGCATCATTCATTTGCTTCATGTTACATTACTTGCATTTTAATATTGTCAAAAGAAATATAAAGTAATAAACGATGATTTTGAAAATTCATTTTAGAAATAAAAACTAGTATTTTTTTAAAAAAAAAATTTTTAGGACCTTAGTTAGATGTTTGAGAGCTTCTCAATAATTATTCTTTATAAAGGAATATTACGTCAAATTTTAAAGGTTATTATGAGAAACCCAAGTGAAAAAATAATTTTTGAAATTTCACTTAAATATTGAGGAATTTAGAAAAAATTTTTGAAATTAAGAATTTTCATTTTATTCCCAAATAAAATGTTTTAAAAAAGACTTTGCAAAAATAAATAAAATGATGAGAATTATTTTAAATATTAAAATTATGACCATTTTATCAATATTAAAGATAACACATAATCAATTGGTATTGTTTTTAAAATAGGGATTGTGGGGTGCTAATCTTTTGTCATGGGTAACTATACTTCTAAACTCAGCTTTGTTTTTTATGGATAAAAAATTTATCTTTTAAAAAGGTTTTAATTAACTTTAAGATTTTATTAAAAAAATAAACTTTTTATATGGTCAATCACACTTAGCAAAAAAAATTGGTAACGACTGCCCATTTTGATTTCAATTTAAAATTTTGTTAACGATTCCTAAAACCATCATAACAGCTTGATGACTCTAGTGGTGAGATTTTTTCTTTTTTAAATCAAACCAAAAAGAATTATGTATTATCCTAAGTTTTGATTTAGTGGATTTAATTGATATTTAATATTAATCTCGTTGTTTCAAAAATTCAAGAAAAATGAAAAATAAGGAAAATTTTGCAAAAAGAAAAATTTGTTTGCATTCATATTTATTGATGTCATTCCTAACTTGTGTTAATTGTGGCATTTTTTATCCAATAAATTATGGGAAATTTAAGATAAGGATATTTTGGTAAAGAAGTATCAAAGGTTTGTTTGTTCCTTTGCTAACACAATCACATGTGCACTACATGCATGAGCTTTATACCCAGACTCTTACCATTTTAAGAAGGATTAAAGTACTTACACTCTTGTAAGGTGAATACCTTTGTAATGGTTAGTGAAGCACTCCCACTAAAATTGAACCATTTCTGT